CATCTTTCACAGTGATAATTTCCAAATAGCGTAGCAATTGACGAGTTAGTAAACAGAACGACCTGACTGAGAGTTGAAGTGGGAGTAACACCGTATATACCTCTTAGTAGTCATCATAGTTTTCATATATTTTTCAGCATCGAATGTCATCAGGTATCTATTGTGTATCCGAGTCTATTCTGGAGTGTTCTACCGAGCAGTGTACATCCTCGCAGTGGTGCTCGGTCTGCTGGTGCTTGGTTTGTGGTTATGTTGGATTGTGGTCGAGAACTGGGATGGCCAGCACTACTGGAACGAAGATGAACGGACGAGACTAAGCCTGGAGCTCGACGATCTCCACAAGGCGCTCAAAGTGGATTACATTTTGCACTGTGTGAGGGTAGCTGGAGGGCAGGGCGCGTTGTCGGTGGATCCTGAGGAGAATAATAGGCTTTATGAAAGTGAGTGTGTGAGAGATGCTCATGGGAATTGAGGTTGTGCTGCTTGGTTTTAGAGTGTTCAACGACTTTAACGACGGCGTATATTGTATATGTTACTCCGATGATAGTGTCGTTCACGCTCTTGGTGCTGGCCGTATTCTGCAAGCTGCGGGCGAAGAATGCCTCGGTGGAAAATGGAGATGTAAAAATGGTCATTGTTGTTGTCATGTGTTTTCCGCAAAAATTTTCGCGAGAAATTTTCGGAAAATATAATCATTACCATATTGGCAAGTTTCACCCAAGTTATTCAATTCTCCCGCAAATTTTTTTCCGCAAGGAATTTTCGGAAAATATAGTTATTGCCATCTTGCTGAGTTTTACATAACTAATCCAATTTTCTCGCAAATTTTTCCACACTGGATGGTTTCACTTCAGGCGTTGTCGAACTCGCAGGAAACCGAGGCTTCGCTGAAGACATTTGTGGTCTTCACCAGTCTGTTGATCATGTGCTTCTGGATAGCATCGTCGATCGCGGGCTCGTCGAGTAGCATGTCGGGCGCGGTGATGGGATTTGCTGCTGCTGGATCGCTGGTAGTTTGAACAGTTTATCTGCATTATATCTGCCATCGTCAGGTTTTGTTCGTCTGGGCGTTTCTGTCGTTTGGAAAGGCCCGTCTTGTCGAAGCTGCCCATAAGTCACCTTTGGTGGCTTCCCTACTTGATATGGCCTCGAGCGACTGGGCTCGGGCTTTGTTCATATGCATGGTCAATGTTGGATTGCTAATTGTCGTTCTTCTCGACTTCTTACGACAGTGTATTCGATCACTGTGGTGGAAGGACCGACCGGAGAAAGAACGCGGGAAGCTATCTGGTGGTATGAGTGAGTTCGTGGACCGCCTGAAGGGCTGGCACTGGGGAAATGTATTGAAGAAAATATGTCTATTGTGTCTGTTGTACTACTGTCTATGGGTGGGCGTGGCCAAGGTTACGTACGTGTTTTTGTCGTGGCTGAATGAGCAGCTAGAGTCGATGAGTTTGATAGCGGTGGTCGGCGTTATTTACTTCATTGGGATCATCATGTTTCTTCTGCCGCCGATACCAGGGGTAAGTGATAGTGGAATTTTTATGAATTTGGGACACATTAGAGTTTCACTCGTTCTACGTGAAGTGGCGTGAAAC